CTTAGAACATCAACAAACATTTACTTGAACTCGAACCGAACTTTTGGTCAGGTTCGAGTCAGGTTCGAAATTCGAACTGAACTTGAATCAGACTTTTAATTAGGTTCAAATTTTCAAACCAGACTTTTTGTCAGGTTCGAGTTCAGTTCAAGCTCGAACTGAACCAGACTCGAACCGAACCAGACTTTTTTTCAGAACCCTAATCGAACCAATTACGTAGTCTAAGTATCATTGTGACTAATTTTATCATGCCGCTTCTTTTGTTCACGTGTTCTTTTGAAATTATAGTCGATTTTGAATCGGTGACAATATAGCTATTTCTATCTCAAAAAGAACCAATTAAAATTTAATATATTTTCATATATTACAAGTAACATATAAGGTTAATCTAATTTGCCAAGTATTATATATTTAAATCTAATATTAACACATATTAAAATACTATTAGTACTTCTTTATTATTATGCAATAAAATTAATTAAACATGAAATAAACTTAATATAACATAAGATAATACCAATATAATTAGATATATGAGAAGAATTAATTAAAATATAAAAATAAAACATATGCTAAATTTTAATAAAAATAATTTATATTAAATATGTATTATGACATAAATCTAATTTATAATAAAGAACTAATTAAAATATTTTAAATAAAAATTAATTGAATTTATAATAATTATTATTCTTTATCAAATACTATTATTATATAATAGAATTAATTCTACTTTTTTTTCATAATAATTAATCAGACAAATTACTAATTGTCAATTAGTAATTAATTAGATAACTGTATTAATAAGATGCTGTATTAATATCAGAATTATTAAATATGAGAATACAAAAATATGTTATATAAGAGAAATATTATTATTATAAATAAATATTGAACTTCTTGATGTTATATTTATTTAAAATTTAACTATTATTAGAGTTACAAATTTTTTCAGATCATAATCAGTTTTAATTTAATTTCACATTAGTGATATTATTAGTAAAAATATATCTTTAAACTATCTGAAAGGAACATAATTATAATCTAAATTAGTTTTAATTATATTTCTAAATTAGTTTTGGTTATATTCCTAAATTATATCATTAGTTTCAGGATCCATCTTTAGTTATTTGGCATTTTTTTTGTTGATAAGAATTTTGCTGGACTAAATTACAAAACAAAAACTATTTGTTGATTTTGTTTTGATAATAATAATATTATGTAGAATTCAGTCAATTATTAAATGTGTTACAAATATAAATAATGTCTTTTAAGTCAATCTATATAATTATAAAATTATCTGAGTTAACTTAATTCTTAATTTACTATTTTGCTTTAGTGTTTTCCCATATTTGATAATTTTGACATTAATATAATCATAGTTAATTAATATGATCATTCAATTAATATGATCACCCAATTAATTACTAATAATTTTTTTTGATTAATTATTGTGAAAAAAAGATATATGAAAATCAAATTTCTTATGTTTATATAAGTTAGAAACTGAAAAAATGTGACTACATTGATTTTGTGATTATATGGGAGGTAACTATATGAAGGTTCAACTGTACTGATATTTTAGGGATATAAAGTCCTGTCTATATTCTGAAAATAAATTTTTATGCAATTATTTTTAAAAAATTGTTCGCATTATTTTCTGTGCGAATTGTACAATGAAAATCCTTTAATTATGTTTCTTAAAAATCGATATGCACAATGAAAGAAAGGCACCTTTATTGTTGTTTTCGTTACAGGCAATATAAAAATATAACATTATTTTTGCTTAAAGAAGATATGAAAGTTGCTGACCGATCGGTCAACCAATATTCTTACGTGATATTATGGCGCAGTAAAGACTTCAGCTTTTGCGAATCATGTGAATGAGAGGTGATTTCATATAGTCAAATCTTCATCGGGATCCTCATCATCAAAATCATCTCCTTCGTCTGGTTCATAATAAATTACTCCAGTACCACTTGATATCGGTGATGCCGAAGATGTACTTTGATTCTCATAATGTTCTATAATGATATTATTATAGAATTATTCGTATTTTTCTATTTACAACAAGTTTGTGTGCAATTTATTATTACCTTGTACTTTAGTGTACGGTAAAACGACATCTTTTTTTGCCACTTTTTGCTTTTCCGTTAGACTCAAATTGAACAGTAAATTCGCGCTTGTAGGATCCAGCTATGAAATACATTTAACAGATAAGTAAAATAACGTAATGAATCTCAAAAGCAGAACAAGTAGTGATATATCGAAATATTCACCTCGTTAGTATTTTGACTCGGGCTGATTTCTTGGTTGGATACCAACTTTATTATAAATTCACCTTTCAAATTATCCACAATCTGATAGGAATTAATCTAAATAACAAAAAGAACCATTTTCAAATTCGTCAAATTATTAGAGATGCAAATTTTAAATCTCAATAATAATATCCTTATGAGAAAATAAGGACCTCATGTAACACTTTTCCCGATCTCTTTTTATGCTCAATCGAGCAGACTGCACTCTCCAACGAATTTATATCTTTAGTTATTATCCATTCATCATCAGAAAGAAATGGGAATCCTTGACTAGTTTCCGCATGAAATCGCTTCGAATTATTGACGGTTATTATGGTGGTTGCTAGATGTGCTAGTGAATTTCGCATGCTTATGTGGGATACCGATAATGATGGAATATCAGAGTGAAATACTGCGATACATCTGCTATTTTCTGGTTAATTGAATCCTCGTTTTCATTTAATAATTGTATTTTTCTTTGGAAATAATATATTATTCAATGATTCACTTGCCTGATGTTAAACCGGATAATTTCTTTACTAGAGTTAAGATTGATGAATTCGAATTGGAGAGAAATGGTGAAAGCGAATCTAGTATGAGCGTGAATTTGGGGCTTTTTACTTGAATCCAAAGAAAAGAAGCGTCATTATTTTCGAATTTATTGATTTTAGTTCATCTCGAGAGAAAAATCTTTATATACATTTCGATATAATGTCTTGAATTAATTTGAATATAGCCTGGCAATCGTCAAGTTTTTTGATAATATGACTCGTGTAATTTATTGTAGATCTCTCTATTGACTCATCAATCACCTCGTAGGGGTTCGAAAAAGTGTAAGCGTCTATAATGATATATCTTTATGAAAAAAGAATCGTGTAAACCATTCACATTTGTCAATTATTTAATAATTTACAAAAAAACACACTTTTCACTTAGTGATTGATCTTTTAAAATCCAATCGGACGAATGCTCTGCACAAAATAAAATGATTGCATGATCACTGAAATAAATAACCATTTAATAAATCAATTATTAATTAATTTTATTAATAATAATGACTACAATTTTACAACTCACACGATTAAATTTGCGCGTTTGATAAATTCCTTTAATAGCACATAACCAGATTGTGTTATTTTATCTTCAATAATTATTAGAGAAGATGGTTCTTTAAAGTTCAGCAAACGATCTAAGAGAAATGATGAATTCATGATTTTTGTCAAACCAGTTGATGTTTAATTATCAATTATATTACTCAGTATCACATGATATTTTGTTGACGTGTACAATAGAAGTTAAAAGTTGTTTCTACAGCAAAACGGAAAACACAAAATATAGAGTAGAACAAGAAATTTGCTATATAACCGTGCAAATTCTTAGCTTTCTTTTAATGTTCACACCGAACAAGATTGTGTATGCTCCAGAACAAAAGTACATTCGAGTAAAAAAAATAAATATCTTGTAATTTAGAAAAGTGGTTCAATTGTTTCTTTTATTATTTCCAAAAAGACAATATTATGTTAAAGAAACCAAAAATTCTTTTTTTGGTTTCTTTCTTTTATATTTTTGGCTTCCTTACGCCAAAATGCCCTAAAAGCAACAACAATAATATCGTCATAATCAGTGATAATATAATAAACAAATCGCTTTCATTAAAGAACGGAGTATCTCATTTCGCTCCACGCCTTTCTTTTTTTTTTTTGGATGACAGGAACGAACCGAAACGCAGCCTTCATTATCGTCTGCGTTTTTTACTCTCGATATATATATACTTAATAGAATGTGCATGATCTACACACGTCTTACTGGTAACATAAATTATTACGTATAACGATTAAAAAAGGCAATCAAACTAACAAATCGAGATAGAATTGGTCAAAAAAAATTACTAGTCGCGTTATATATACCATTACGTCATTCCGCACAAAGCGCGCGTAAACTATCGTTGGTTATAGATCTTTTAGAGATTTGATTTATATAATTAATGTTAATAACCATTAATTGTTGCCCACTTCACCGTTACTACTTGCTCAGCTCACTTTACCGTTACTACTTGCTCAGTTCACTTTACCGTTACTACTTGCTCAGCTCACTTTACTCTTTGTATTATTGTTGTTGTTTATAGATGAAAAATGTAAAGCGGACAACATCATGCAGAATTTGCATATTTATTGTCGTTAGTAATTAATAATATGATGCATAATTTATCATGTGGTAATATTATTATGAGAAGACAGATAACAAAAGCGTGAAAGAAAGTGTTTGGTTAATGTCCCTTGATGCCATAGAGATTGTATGATTGACGACTGATTGGTTGCCAAGATGCTAAAAAATAACAATTTTTCGTTTGATTCGTTCTACGATGAACTAATTTTTATATATAGTGCTCTGGCGTTTATTCTGATTCTGATTCTGATCCCCTTCCTTTTACCCACAGATTGTTTATAGATTGCGCTCACTTTTTCTCTTCAAATATCCTAATAAACCTTTGCCTTTTTTTATTTTCTCTTACTACCATATACGCACTCTAGAATCTCATCAGGTCCTCCACGTTACTACTTTTTACTCTTACTACTAATATTAAAATAAATAAACATGAGAGAAATTATCCACTTGCAAACTGGTAGGTTTAATTTTTAAAAATAAACGCGCCTTTGTTGCAAATTGATAAGCAAGTATACCCGAACATTGACTAAACAACTTTTTTGTACGTGTCTTGCGCTACTCGTTTTTTAAAATTTCTCTAGGTCAATGTGGTAACCAAGTAAGTAGCGCGACTTTTGTTTTTTTATAAAGTGAAAGGATAATATTTTTTATAAAAGACGCGTTGTTTCGTCTAATTTACCAATTTATTGACTGTTTTACTTTTGTTATCCTGTACCGTTCATTTTTAGATTGGACAAAAGTTCTGGGAGGCCATTTCGGCAGAACATGGTCTTGATCCCGATGGCGCCTATGTCGGTGATAGCGACTTGCAACTAGAACGTATCAATGTCTATTATACCGAAGCTACGGGAGGAAAATATGTACCTAGGTATTTTATTGAATACAATGGTTTATATTATAAGCAAAACTTTAGATCAATAAAGAAATGATTCACTTTATATTCTTTTCAAATATCTAGAGCTATCCTAATAGATCTTGAACCAGTGACAATGGACTCGATCCGATCTAGCAAATATGGAGGCCTCTTCCGACCAGACAACTTTGTATTTGGTCAATCTGGAGCAGGCAACAATTGGGCCAAAGGATACTACACTGAAGGTGCTGAACTGCTCGATTCTATCTTAGACGTTCTACGAAAAGAAGCCGAGGCCACCGATTGTCTTCAAGGTTTCCAAGTGACACACTCACTTGGTGGTGGCACTGGTTCTGGACTTGGCTCATTATTATTATCTAAAATCCGTGAAGAATACCCGGATCGTATGTTATGTACCTTCTCGGTTGTTCCATCGCCCAAAGTGTCAGATACCGTCGTCGAACCATACAATGCTGTGCTTTCTGTTCATCAACTGGTAGAGAACAGTGATGAAACTTTCTGTATCGATAATGAAGCTTTATATGATATTTGCTTCCGCACATTAAAATTGACAAATCCTACTTATGGAGACCTTAATCATTTGGTCTCTGCTGTTATGAGTGGAATCACCACATGTCTACGATTCCCTGGTCAACTTAATAGTGACTTGAGAAAATTGGCTGTTAATATGGGTTAGTATTTTATTATTAAAGTAAAAATTATACATGTATTTTTTTCTAATTTTTACCATCTTGAAATAAAATTTCAGTTCCCTTCCCCCGTCTGCATTTCTTCATGGTCGGATTCGCACCTTTAACTGCACGTGGTTCACAATCTTTCCGAGCCCTCACAGTTCCAGAACTGACCACACAAATGTTCGACGCGCGCAATATGATGGCAGCCTCTGATCCGCGCCACGGCCGATATCTAACAGTTGCCACGATTTTCCGTGGTAAACTTTCCACCAAAGAGGTCGAACAACAAATGCACAATATACAAATGAAAAACTCATCATACTTTGTCGAATGGATCCCATCAAATGTAAAGACAGCCGTGTGTGACATCCCCCCGATTGGCCTCAAGATGTCTGGTACCTTTGTTGGCAACAGCACATCCATTCAAGAACTCTTCAAACGTATCAACACCCAATTCACAGCAATGTTTAGGCGAAAGGCTTTCTTACATTGGTATACGGGTGAAGGTATGGACGAGATGGAATTTACCGAAGCAGAGTCGAATATGAACGATCTTGTGTCAGAATATCAACAGTATCAGGACGCAGCTGGTAATTAATATTTATTTTTATTATTTACTTATTGTGTTTTAGATGTATTTTGAATTAATAAAAAAATTTATTTTCTACTTTAAATAAAGCCGAGGATGAAGGTGGTGAATACGAAGAAAACGAAGAGGAATATCAGGAAGGCGAGGAGTAAACTAATTAAATAAAAATAATTTACCATACTCAAACTATTTTCATACCTTATTCTACTTACATTATTATTTCATTATATTGTCATTATTATTTTAGATTAATATTATCTTAAAAAACATAATGGTTTTATTTGCATTGTAAAGTAACATTTTTTTCATACTTTCCCCTATTTTAGCTTATTTCGCATCGTTCATATCTTTTATAATTAACAAATTATTATATTACTTTGGCGAAAGAAAATATAAATGTAAAGTTATAGAGCTATCACATTCCTTAATCACGAACACAATCAATCAATGGACATTATTAATCTTGTCTCTACTTAACTATTTTAATCCCTAGAATTTTATTCAACTTGCTCATTACAAGAGCAATGTTTGATGGATCGATATAATTTTTCGGATTTTTACCAAGATGTATTTTCTTAAGTTTATTCAATGAACAAATTGAAGTGGTTAAATCGAATGTCTTTATTTGACGTGATATATCTTACTTGTACATAATTATCTTGATATGACCTGTTAATATATTAACTTTTCTTCCCATTAAGCGACTTACTACCACTACCACCTCCTCCCTGTTGTCGCTGTTTTATCAGTTCTTTCGCATCAGAATCATCGATCTTGACAATATTGAATTGCTTGCCACCACCAACAGCAACAGCACGTATCGCCATTTTCGTCTCAATATCCTTATTGATTGCAGTGGTCAATTTTTTACGAATAGCATCCCGTTTTATTTTCCCTTGTTTCTTTGGCGCTATTACACGTGCACCTTTCTTTAGACCAATGTTTTTTGTGCGTGTCTTTTTTTTTATGGGTAGCGACGAGGAAGTGTGTTTTTTTAATAATAGACCTTGTGCCATTTTAAATTTAACGTTAATAAATTTGCTGAACTTTGGGATGTTAAAAAGGTTCGGTCTGATCCAAGGACTAGATTGGACCAGGCAGATCAGACTAGGACCGCATAGGATAGACTGAACTCTTATTCGAGAGGAACACTAAACCAAGGAAATTTACTAATTTCCCCCAAGTTATAATTGGTTGAGGGTATTAAAGGTTAATTTTAGCGTTAGGATTAAGGTTAGGGTTAGGACTGGAAAAAGATTATGTCTCCCCGACATTTTTTATTAGCGTTAGTGCTTCAAGCCAGGTTTAAGCATTCTTTTTCTTGTATCGGATTTGTTTTGCCGGGTTGATCAAAAATTTATGCGTCTTTATTGGTTGACTTAGAATCGGATAATCTTAATACATTCAATAATTGGTTGAATTATATATTGTTATGATTCGATATTTCTTGTATCTAATTTTATATAATTCTATATATTATTACATTATTACATTATTACTTAAAATAATATTATTGGACAATCATATTAATAATTCTCCAAGTGGTCGTTTTTTATTTCCATTAATTCCAATTAAATTGATGTTGCTTGGCTTTTGAATCTTCCAATTAATTTTGTTTAAACATGTCTTGGATATTGTTATAGTTTATTTTGTTAGTTATATATTATTGGACAATTTCTATATTTATTTTTATTGGACATTTTGTATAGTATATTTTATTGGACAATATTTATTTTTATTTTTATTGGTTAGCTATTTTTGGGCTTATTATTTACATGTACTGTACATCAATGTGACAGATATATTGAACATTCGATATTTTGAACTGTTGATCATTAGAGATATCGAACTGTTGATATTTTGAAGTATTGATCTTTAGAACTATAGAGATTTTGCTTGTTTAGTGTTATGAATATTTAGAGATCTTTGCAACAATCAATTTAATATATAAGTAGCACTTCACTTGATAGCAAATAAGTAAGAATTATTATAAGAAAGTAACAAGTTTTTAATACTGAATTCACTTAACTTGATTTACTATCTCCTCTTATAATTGTAAGAAGAGACCTGTTAAAAATCTTCTGCTATATAAATACTGTTAAAAGAACTGAAATAACAGTTGGTGCCTTCTACCAGAAATTAAATTATACCTCTTTTTTATGAATTACATCTACACTTTCTTTGGAGTAATTGTTAATGCACATTTATTAATACACGAATTAGAAGATAACTTAAATCCAACATGTTACCTTTTATCATCTTATTGTTACATTTGTCATTTACCCTTTGATATTGATGAAAGAGAAGACTACAAGTTCATCAACTTTTAGACTTTGATATCTGATTGTGAAGCAATAGCATACAGCTAACAATCACAAATAATATTTGATCAATTAGTTTATTCAGTTATAATTACTGAAGAACAACAAAGAAGATTAATTACTGAATTACTTGATTCAATCTTATATAATATTTAACTCAACTCTGATAAAAGACAATATCTTAAAGTCACTATTGTAGAAGTATTACAAGAAACTGATAGATTTACCAATACTCCAACAACAATTTCACTTGCAAATACCATATCTGAAATAGATCCAGAAGATTATATTGTTGTATAATGATCTTTCGTCATAATATTTCATATTATTGGATTATAAATATCTCATATATTATTGGATAAAGATCAAATTACGTGAAGCGAGCGAACAAGTGAATGAGCAAATGAACGAATAACTAAATGAACAAATAAGCGAACGAATATTGAACCAATAGAATTTAAGTGATATAGCGAACATGAATTCATATAATCTAGAAATTATATCTTGAATTTGTATAAAAGCAACATGTATCATAGTTGTTAGAATTAGATATGAACAAGTCCTTTT